TTAGTGGAATCCAGATTGTTAGATATTTGACTATATCTGATGACATGCTTGAGGTATCAAAAGTTTCCTAATTTTGAAATTATTTCTTCTGTTGTATTCCTTTTTGACTTTTTGTGATTAGTCTCATTACTAATTTCAATTGTGTTCTTTGTGAAATGTCGAGACGCACAATAGACATTTTGTTGGACCTGATGTAGAGAACATCGAATCATAGAATCCTTGAAATTGCTGAGTTAGATACTACTAGAAAGCCCTCATCTAGTTTTAAATTTGCTCATCCGAAATACCCCCTCAATCTGCCAACTAAAACAGTGAGTTGCTTGATTAATCATTCTACTAACGTAATAGATTTCTCTTTTCTATGATATGATGATATGGCCATTCGGTACAAATGATATGTATGATATGAGCTCTTACCGGTTTCTAAAGATATGATGACGGTATAATTTTTATTGACGCATGATTTAAATATTTTATTCAGGATTGCACCATATTTTTTTATGTCTTTTTCCCTACTCCACGTTAGAACAAATAATCCAGTGTAACGAGACTAATTTTTATTCCAGCATTAACTTTAGTTTTATTACCCTATGATTCTTTCATTTAAAATTTTGAAATACTATTTATTTGGTTAAAGTTGTCTTATTTTCTAGTAGATAAATTTTACGTCCCTTTTGAAAACATTCAGATGTTTGGATTCACTCTTAATTTGAAGTTAAAATTATATGGTTGATGTAAACTGCATTATTTGCCTTCTACCAATTTTATTTCTTAAAATAATTAAATTTTCCTTTCTTGTCATTAGTTTCTTTACAAATTAAAGTTTAGTGTGTTGCCATGTACGTTCACTACCATATGATTAATCCATTACTTGTAATTGAAAATGACTTCTTAGTTAAATAAGAGATAAATTTGAAATGTACTGCACAGTGCACATTATTATGAAGACCATGCATGCATATTTTTAAAATGAGTAGAATACATTGTAATATGTTGTTCTGTTAAGTTTTAACTAATAAATGGAATAAATAACAAGATTTTGACTTACTATTGTTGACAATAATTTATTCTTTAATAATTAGACAGTAGGTCGATTTCTTTTAATCTTGTATAAAATTTAAATCTTGTGGCATGTTAACTGGTACAATTTAAATAAAGCTTTTGGTAACGATTCATAATTAGTTCCATACAAAATTTAGGTCGTTACATAGGATTCACGGGCATTTTAAATGAAAATAGAGCCTTTCGATATCTGAATCATCATGTTGGAGAAGTATTCTTTTCATAAAATTCAAGAAGGAAGCTTGACGCTTTAAGTAATCATCTTCATTCTGTCAAACCGTGAAATTGAATCTTCCAAATTAATATTGGCAATGACAGCCACGAGGTTTCTCTGGCATAATATTGGGCTTCGTATGATATCTTTGGTAGGAAGGAAGGAATGATAGACAATTGCATTAGGCCATACTTCTATTTTCATTCAATAACTTGTGAAGCCTTTTCCATTTAGCACTCTTTGATAAATGTATATTGCCATAATAAGAAGGCAACGATTGTCATTAAGAAGGAACAAGAAACAGAGCATGTAACCAAGCAAGAACCGAGTTGGTACATAAGAAAAAAAAAATGACTTCAAAGAATGTAGTAAAAGCAAATTAGACCTCACTCATTCACATAGCTTTTTGATAGCAGGGGTTCTACAAATAAGAAAGTGAGAGCGGGGCTGACGTCATGCTTTAAGAAGCAGGAGTAAGACTTAGCTTATACATGATTTTTTTCTATGCAAGATTATATCGGATTTTGATATTGATTGTGTTTCGCTGCACTTTATTTATTTAGCCCTTGTTTGGTAGAGGTTAAAATTAAATTTTTAATAGATTTTGATAAAAGTTGATGAAATATGTGGTTGAAAAGTTGTGGATCCCATAAAATATATAGTTAAAATTAATTGTTGTCTTTGACTTAAGGTTTTAATTAAATTTTAATCCAAACCAAACATGGCTTTATTATGGCAGCCATCTTATGTGGATTCAGATCATCAACTGTTTGTATTTTTGCCTCACGGTAGAAGCCTTAATTTTTAGAATTTATCTTTTTCCCTGTAAAATGTCTTTCTGTTTTCTTTAAGTTTTATCTTTTAAAATTCCGATGTCTGAATGCTTTTTGCTTCTATTATTTATAAGGTCTTGCATACAATGGTTTTCCATATCATGCTTAAAAGTGACGTGCAATTGTGTAGTTTAAGTTTAAAAAGAAGATAAATCGATAGCAATCTTGGTATCAAAAGTGTAACAATCTCATTGAGTAAAGTACATGTGCAGATTTTCAAAAGTGAGGCCTGCTTTCTCTTGTTAGTTGATTGTACATGAATTCACACAATTGAGGTTTTACTCATTCCATGCTTTGTATTCACTATTCAATGAGACTCCTAATAAAAAGTAATTATCATCCAACTTTTATACCGATAGCATTATTGTGAACATTCTTTTCTTTCCTTCTCCAGATGGTACTATTATTATTATTTTTCATTTTTACATGTCATGTTTTGAAACGAATTCACTTGCCAATATTATCTAGGTCAAATAATTATATTTTGTTTCGACTATTGTGAATATTATGAAAATTTCGTTTTTCTGTATAGTTAACAAGAGTTTTACTCTACTATCTCAGTTGCACTTTTTTTTGTGGTGTTGCTCTCTCAGAAGATTTTTTTGCATTTGTAGAATTTTGGTTGATGGAGAATCTCAGCATTTTGAGCATGACATTGAAATCAAAAGGAGAATTCAAATGTCTGGTTGTTTTCTTCTCCAATGCCTATTCAAATCCATGGAATGTAGACAAATGCAATGTCAATTCTGGAAAGTTGGAGGTAAAGCATGTAGATTTGTTATGATTTAATTAGAAATTTAACAATTGATTTAATTACAGTGCTATATTATGCCAATAACTTAGCATATGTTTGGCAAATATTTATAAACAAATAGAAATGAATGGTAGATGAGTAAGTTGCAGTTATGGTTCACAAATGATTTGTATCATTTGAAATATATTGGTTTATGGCCACATGCTGTATTTCCCTGTTACATAAAAAGAGCCGCTTTCCTATACTGTTCACAACTTCGTATTTTGCCTTCACACTCGTTATTGAGATACTTTTAATTTTTATTCAATGCAATTATTGCAAAACAGCGTTGTTGCTCTTTCCCTATTTAGCTGCATTTTTTCTGTTTTTCTATATTCTGTCTATCTTTAACGCTCACGGAATTGAAGTTCTGGCTAGGGAATTTTTTGTCCTTCGTTCCTTCGCTGTGTGTTGTGCTGAGTTGCGATTCAAGTCCCAGACCGTGGAAGGCTCTTGGATTGTGTCAGATTTGCTTAAGGTTTGGATCTTCAAATTGATTTTGAGCTTTCCTTTCTCTTCTGTGTATATCTGCATCGCGTTGTTTAGGGCATTTTTCTTTCTCCGTTCCTTCAATTTGTGTTTCTAATCTGTGCAATTCTGAATCCAGATAGTTCAGTTAGGCTTTTGATCCCCTCTTGTATTCTCTTTCTCTCTCACACCATTTTCGGCTAAACCATTTACTCTATCCCCATTCTGTATATAGATCTTTGACTTTGTTAATATTTGTTCATAAACTAATAAAGCTTCATTTTTATTTTTATTTTTTTCTATTTTCATTTGCAGATCAGTGCAATTTTTTTTCCTGATTAATATATATACTTATGATTGCAAAGAATTTTGCCTTTTTTTTTGCTATATTTTATCTGCTTATACTGATTAGTGCTAATGAGTGCTTTACCTTTACTCACAGTGCTTGTTTAAGGTAGAAAATCCTAAGTTTATAAATATTATATCTATTATGTTAGTGGTTTATTTGGAAACTTTCTCATTTTTAATGTAGTTAAGAGTTTATTAACAGATTGTATTTTTTTTGGCTAAACAAGTCCTGAAATACTGTATGTAGCATGTTCCTCTAATAGGTGCATATCCACTAAGAATCTGCAGTTTGAGTTTGACCCTTTTGTTATGTATAATCTCCATCATCACAAAGAAGACAATGAAATTTTCTTGTAGAAACTACACGAATAGGCTTGCTGGAATCCTCCTTTCATTTATAATGAATTACAATTCTCTATACTGTGCTTCTTCATGCTCTTTTCTGCAACAACTTTTATTGATCCCTTTTTTTTGAGGCATTTCCTTGGATTCCTTTTCCTAATTCTATTTCCTTAAAACTTTTCGAACATGCCTTCCTGTATGTTGCGAAACAACTCAGTGTATATTGTAATTCTTGTTTCTATGTGAAATCAGTTATATATGGTACCTGTTTCAGGTTCTGTGTGACATTGTAAAATATTTATTGCATATTCTTAAATCCGATATATGTCTGAACATTCATCTGATTTGTGTAATTAAACACTTTATATGCTGTGTCTCTTATTTTCTGAGTGAAAATTCATCAACACGTGTAATATGTTCCCTTCTCTCAGTAAAAGAAGTTGATTTGTTCAGAATAACTTTTTCTTGTAAACTAAAAAGATCTTCAAGCTTTGAAACACTACATAAACAATTTTTTATACAAAAGAAGTATGATATATTTTCGCAAATTTATTTACAAAATATAAGAAACTTAATCTTTGTTGCTCGTTACTTTCTTGTGTGAAGGTTTTTGATAAATGACAAAATATAAGTTTTAAATTGATGTCTTCACCGGCGATAGAGACTTTTTCCTTTTTATTATGAAGTAGGTTCATATTTTGCAGAGCGATCTAACTTTTTTTTTTCTTCCTTGTTTAAAGCAGAGCATCAGAGCCTTATTATGACTACCTCAATAGTATTGAAGAGCGCTGAGCAACAAAGGCTTTCTAAATTAAAGAATGAAGATAGAAGTGAAGATTTGATTAGCAAATTGCCTAATGCAATCCTCCTGTATATCCTCTCCTTCCTTCCTACCAAAGATATAAAACGAACCTCAATACTATGCAAGTGATGGAAAAACATGTGGACTGCGATTTCCAACATTGATTTAAGAGATTTAGATGATAGAACAAAAAGTGATTACTTAGAGTGTTGGGCTTCCTTATTGGATTCTGTGGGAAGAATACTTCTCCAACATGATGATTCAGATATCGAAAGGCTTCGTTTTTCATTTAAAATGCCGGTGCTTACCTGTGTTCGTTCATGGATTTCCATTGCTATAAAACATAATATTAGAAAGCTTGATGTTTCCCTACCTTTAGGATGCAGATTTTTATTACCTCGTCACTTTTTACTTGTGAATTCCTAACCGTGTTAAGATTACAGATGATCTGCAATTTCAGTCCCAGTCTAATTCATTGGCCAAATTTAAAGGAATTGCATATTTCAAAAGTAACAGTTTTCAAAGAAAGTTCCACACAACAACTTTTCTCAAGTTTCCCGTTGCTTCAAAAACTGATGTTGGAGGATTGTGAATGGGAAATCATTAGGCGTCTCAGCTTCTCGATTCCCAATTTGAGATGTCTGATTTTTTAGCAACGTTCAGATCCCGATAATTTACTCGAGCAAGATAGTAGTTCTTGCTTCCAATCTTGTTTACTTGAACTGTATAAGTGACTTCTCAATTAATCTTCTAGTAGCTACACGTTCACTAGCCAATGCATATGTTGATGTTTATAATTACGAAGAAGTAGAGGAAGAAGTTAGTAGGCGTAACATCAGATCGCTTACTGGAAACCAGAGCGTTGGATCTTTGACTATATCTGATGACACACTTGAGGTATCAAAAGTTTCCTAATTTTGAAATTATTTCTTCTGGTGTATTCTTTTTATACTTTTTGTGACTAATTTCATTACTAATTTCAATTGTGTTCTTGTCTACTAGAGTCTTTCTGGTGTAGGATGTGCCTGTTTTTCAAAATTTAATCCATTTGAAAGTAGTTCGTGAAATGTCGAGCCACAGAATAGGAATTTTGTTGGTTCTGATGCAGCGAATATCGAATCTTAGATTCCTTGAAATTGCAGAGGTAGATACCACAAAGCCCTCATCTAGTTTTAAGTTTGTTCAATGCAGTTTTTCAGATTTAACCCCTCAATGTGCCAACTAAAAAGTGAGTTGCTTGATTGATCATTCTAGCATAATAGCTCTCTTAGTTATTGTCATTTAGGAATTCACTCGAGACACAGAAATCATTCTACAAGATGATAGGAATTTCGAAATAATTACTTGCTGTTTGAGATCTCATCTCAAGGCCTGTAGCATAAAAGCTATATATGGGCAAGAAGCTCCAATACTTCTGCTAAAACATTTCTTGAAGCATTCAGCTGTTATACAAAGAGTGGTGGTACATTATCCCAACAATGCATCAGACTATATGGGAAAGTGAGGAATTAGAAAACCAGCTACTTATGCTCACTAGAATCTTAGAGAATTGTATCATCGAACTCTTGGACCAGCCTCTATAGGTTACATTGCTTTTAGATTCGATGAAGTAGAAGACATTATGTAGCGCATCTTTATCTTTGATGTTTGTATTTGTAGCTATTATTACTATTCTAGAATTTTTTTACTCATTTGCCTTGTGTTTCGGTTATCAAAAGGCTTCATCTTTCATTTGGGAATAACCCTTCCTATGTTAATCGTTGATATCCCCTACTTTAAAGCTCAATGTGTCCCTAGCTTTAGGACGAAGATTTATTTTACCTTGTTACCGTTTTACTTACGAATCACCGATTAAATACTAGAATTGAGCTGCAATTTGAAAGTTGGCAGTTTAATTCTTTTGCTGAATCTGAAGACGCTGCATGTTTCACTGGTTATATTTGTCGACAAAAGTTCCACAACAGCTTTTCTGAAGCTGCCCACTGCTTCAAGAACTTGGGTTGGTAGATTGTGGACGGTCAAATAGGAAGCATATCAGCATTTTGATTCCCACTTTGAGCTGCCTGTTTTTTCAGCGATGTCCAGATATCATAGTTAACGACGATTTACTTGATTGTGAAATATAAGTTTGTGCTGCCAAAAATAGGTCTTTCTACGCAGAAGTGTAATTGAGGTAAATTCTTCACCCACAGGTGAACAAGAAATTCAGCTGTCAACTAGAATTAAACAATGCCATAAGGTGAAACTGCTGCTGCCTGATCCAGTAACTTGAGTACCCAAGTCTGGTTATTAATTAAGAATTCTAAACATCTTGCATTAGGTTTTTACAGGTTGAAATGTCATTTTCATAAATATACATATATATGCTTCACATATATCCGCATTTTCAATAAGGAGACAATTCTATGCAAAAATATAAACCTCATCGTAACCCTTCCTGCAAATATGACAGAAATGGAAGCTAGTTAATACTCACTCAAGGCAAAAGGGGGAGAAAAATTAGTACCTTCCAACACACGTGCATGGAGAAGGGAGTCGGGATGGTGGTGGTTGAATTGAACACTTACCCAGCCTTTCCACAATACGTGGGACTGTAATTATATATGAGGTTGTCAAGCACTTTTCGAGCAGATGGTCTGTTCATGGACTTCCTAGCCTCCCTGTAAGAATTGATTTTAAAGGTAAAATACATGTAGTTATTGTATTGCATGGATGCATGCTTAAAAATATAGACACACATGTTAAATATTACGACACAAAGACAGATACAATCAGTACATGTATATAGGAAAATACTGAGCAATGGGATCAAGAATAAGATCTAATTTGTGGCTCTTGTTCTGACTTCTTAAACGAGGTAGAGACTTTTCTGAGACAGTCTTAAGCTATGGGTTAAACTAGATTGCTGCTATGCTTCACTCCAGTGATTATATAGATTGCTAAGCTTCCAACATGTCAAATTGACCAGATACATACCCTATAAAGAAGTTTGCAAAATGCTGAGTCACTTGAATTGCATCATCTGAGTGGGGAATCATTGATAAGCCCCATTCGAAAGCATTTTTCTGCAAAAGAGACAGGAATTTGTACTATGAATTGAGAAAGTGCAGTTTTTACAAATAAAAACATATTTTTTCGCATGCATATGTGAGTCGTTGTCCAATCACTTTCTATGACAGCAAAGTTGCAATTTATGCAAGGAATATGATTGTGTTTCCATGTGTTGAGAATTAAGAACCAAATGCTTTAAAATTTTGGTACACAAGCATAACACCAAACAATAAATACAGCCTTGGACCAAAACACAGGAGTAAAAAACTGCAAGCATGCACCAATGCAAGTCTAACAACGGCCTGTATTGAACTGTGTTCCATAATAGCAGAACTCAGATGTCTCACTGAGTTTCTTTTAAAATTAAATCAGGATACTATTGTGAAAGCAGGGACGTAGACAAATACCCAAAAAAAAGAAAATAAAAATGCCGGATGTGTTGGAAAATTTGTATCCAATTTTTCTTTATATGATTCTGTATATTTATGGAAGTAGTAACCTAACAAACCAGATGTGATGGAAATTTCCCAAAAAAAAAAAAAAAAA